AAAAAAAGAGAGAGAGAGAGAGGGAGAGCTACTCGTTTGAGAGAGAGAGGAGAGAGAGAGAGAGAGAGAGAGAGAGAGAGAGAGCATTGGGCGTTTCTTGCAAATGGGTTCATCAGAATTCTCTCTGTTTCAACAATCACCTAAAAAAAGATCAGTTTTTCACAAGGCCCCTTCTCTAATTGCAGATGGGTTTCTTTTTGTTGGAGGTGCATCAATGGCGTTGTCTCTGGTTTGGGCTCTGCTCACCTTCATCAACCCCAGCACCAGCATCGACAACATCATCACCTGGAGCACGGGTGGTTGCGGCCCGGACTTGGGCTCCGACCCGTCTGAGCCCACATTCTACGACGACCCGAATCTCAGCTACGCATTCGGGGAAGAACCAATGAAGGATTGGGATTTGAAGCGCAGAGAATGGCTCAAGCTTCACCCTTCTTTTGCTGCAAGTGAAGAAAAAGTTCTTCTTGTAACTGGGTCTCAGCCAAACGTGTGCAAAAACCCAGTTGGTGATCATTTGCAGCTGAGGCTGTTCAAGAACAAAGTTGATTACTGTAGAATTCATGGGCATGAGATATTTTACAACAATGTTTTGCTGAACCAGAAAGGGACTGGCTTTTGGGCCAAATACCCACTTCTCAGAGCTTCCATGTTGGCTCATCCTGAGGCCGAGTGGATCTGGTGGGTCGACTCGGATGCAGTTGTCACAGACATGGAGTTCAAGCTGCCATTAGAGAGATACAAAGATCATAACTTGGTTGTGCATGGATGGTGGAATATGCTGTATGAGGAGAAGAGCTGGACAAGTCTCAATGCTGGTGTGTTGTTGATCAGGAACTGCCAGTGGTCCATGGACTTGATGGAAAGATGGACCAGCATGGGCCCACAGAACCCAGACCATGAAAAATGGGGAAAAGCCCAAAAGTCATTGATCAAGGACAAGGCATATCCTGGGTCAGATGATCAGTCGGCTCTGATTTACCTCCTCATAAAAGAGAAGGACAGGTGGGCGGACAAGATTTACTTGGAGAGTGAGTACAACTTGCATGGGTACTGGTTGGGCATAGTGGATGGGCTTGACAAGATCAGCAAAGGGTACATGGAGATTGACAGAGAGGTGGATTTGCTGAGGAGAAGGCATGCAGAGAAGATGAGCTTGTTTTATGGTGCAATGAGAGAGAAGCATATGAAAGATCGAGGCTTTTGGAAAGAGAATGTGAGGAGGCCTTTTGTGACACATTTCACTGGCTGTGAGCCTTGCAGTGGAGAGCACAACTCCATGTACACTTGGGAGGCTTGTTGGAATGGGATGCAGAAGGCTTTGAATTTTGCAGACAATCAAGTGCTTAGCAGATTTGGGTTTGTGCATCCAGACCTACTTAACTCATCTTTGGTGTCTCCCCTGCCATTTGATTTCCCTGCTTGATTTTGTGATTTGATTGTTCAGTTTGTTTGTTGTCCTGCAATTTGTACTTTCGGGTTTTCAGTAGAAAGTGTAAATATGGAAGAAGAAGAGCCTCTTTGTGAGTCTGGCTGCATTTAAGATGCTCCTGGATTATGTTGAAAAGTTGGGTTCTTGTCAAATTCTTACATTAAAAGACACGAGACAGCTCATGAAATTTAAGCTCATATTGCTTGTCTTCTTCATTTCAGCCATATTATATGCAGTAGCTACAATTTACAGAAAAAAATAAGTCTTGCATGCTCTTTGTATTAACTTAATTTTTCTCCTCTTTTTCACTCTTTAAGAATGGATTTGTGAGTAAGAATGTTAAAGTGTAAATTATGGTGAATTTTTTTGAACTTTACTCTAATCACAACAATCTAATCTCCACCAAAATGTTAAAAGTATAAATTGCAAGAAAAGTCACATAAATAAAACCCCATTTTTTTCTCGGTTTTTTATTATTATTATTAATTTATTTTTTATACAAAGAGATAGTCTAAATTATTCTAAATTAATATAATATAATAAGAAGGAGATTCAAATTTGAGTGCAAGGCCAAGTGGCCTAATTCGAGTCTTCTTTTCTCAGCTTTACTGGTCTCACCTAAGAGAAGTCTCACACGAATCTCATCCATATTAGGGTTTAAAAGAGAAATTGTTGAAAATATAAAGAGACTGTAAAACCCATCTTCCAACCAAACTTTAACTGTACTTTTTATCCAGACTAGATAACCCATGAATGAAACATGATATTTTGAATGGCCTCAATTAGTGGAGAGCTTGCTTGACCTACCCATGCTAAAGAGTTAAAGGCCATAAAGTTCAGGGTCCATATGAATTTCGTTGTCATGCCAGGTCTCCAAAAGGGATGAGCGCCCCCGCCAAAGCATTTTCCAACCCAACACCAATTCCGTCGCTGAAAGCGCCTTAATTACTGAAAAAAATCATATGAAGCTCCAGCCTCAGTCAAACCCGTGACACTCAATTTCCACACATTGCCCGTTTCCTATTGCCATCAGCAGGGCCCTCCGTTGTCCATTCTACTGTATACATTACCCACTAGCATTCAACCAAAGTGACAGCAACTCATCACTCCCTTCATTGCCATGCCCTCTACGAATTTGCCGGCTTATAACAAGGGCATCAAAACCCAACAATGCTTTTCATTTGAAGTGTTGGATAATGCTACAGTTAGTTGCGGCACGTGACTGGATCTGATAAGTGATGCATTGTGAGTTCAAAATGCATCAATGGTCAAGAATCATTTACGTGCGCACCAGTAATGCAGTTCAATCTTGCCAGTGCAACTTCAATTCTTCATTTATACAATGCAAACATATCAAATTTATACAATGCAAATATATCAAATTACTATTAAAAAATGTAATATTTACTGTGTGACAATTGATAGTAGGAAGTAAGGATAATGTCACAAAACCCCACATTTGCCCCAACGTTATAACATTGGGTTGTATAACATGGTTATTTTTATAATGCAATGATGTAGCGTGCATATCAAGTGCCTCATAGTTTTTGAGTGGTGATTTCCCTACTCCAATTTTATCCACTTACCATTTTATAATTAAAAAAGGAGTGTAAGTAGATAAAATTAGAGTGGGGAAATCATTACCCTAGTTTTTTAATTACTTGCTTATTCGTGTTGTTCTGGTTGGGATGGGTTTGGCACCAATGAGTTAGCTGTGTAACATTAATGTAAATTCTTTACTTTGCAAGTGTATGATCGAATAAGCTAGGTTTGTTATGTACCCTGCAAATGTTCCATTGAAGGCATGAAGCTTGGCAATTGGTTGTTTGGTATGAGCCCTTGGTGGACAGAAATGTAAAATAGATGTACTTGTTGAGTAGGTTATTGGTGTTCACATAAATTGAGCTTCTCGCCACACAGATGAGTTGGGTTTTGTATCTTTGTACATTATTGTTCTTAAAAGTTGGTTTGAGGAGATGCCTTGGTTAGTCTGGTATCTGATTTGCAAGATATAAATTATATTTTTTAGTTGTATCTGTTGATTGGTTAGTATAGTTCCTTCGAATTAAATTGCGCTTCTTTTCTGATTTTAGTTGCTCCTGTTAACTTGTGTGACAGATTTGTCAGTATACACATTACTTATCGATGGGCCATAAAATAAAAACTTGGAAGTACTTCTGGAACGGCTAAAAGCGCTTTCTGACAACTAAAAGCGCTTCTGACAACGTTTGATAGAAAAGTTTAGAAACGCTTTTTAGTCATAAAAACGTTTTCTGGAAAAGCACTTGCTATGTGCTTCTTTAGGAAGCACGCCCAAGTGTTTTTCCAAGAAGTACTTGAATGTTTTTATGAAAATTCAAGATTCTTGTTATAAAAGCGCTTTTGTTAGAAGCGCTTATGAGCAGAAGTACTTCTTAGAGAAACAGTCCCAAACGAATATTTACTTCTATTTCAAATTCGGGATCTCGAAAGGACACATGCAGTACCACATCTGGTGATTATGTTGTACAATATTTTTCAGTTGGACCTGATGAGTAGGTTATTGGCTTCTTGCCTCACAGTAGTGGTACCCAGTAGTACCTTCAAGCTTACACTCTCTGCTATGTGTATTTACAAGTTTAAGCTCACACATACACAAAGCTATCAGCATACCACAAAGGCACTGCTATTATTTCACAAAGACGCCCTGAAGGAGCTTTCTTGAAAATGGGTTCACCGGACTTCCCTCTACTACAAACATCATCTAGGCGCTCAGTTCTGCACAAAGCTCCTTCTTTAATTGCTGATGGGTTTCGATTTGTAGGAGTAGCATCTTTGGTTTGGGCTCTCTTGTCATCACCGGGAATACAGCTGTCAGAGGCCTTTACTTGGGCTACGACCTGGCTGAGCCTACATTCTATGATGATCAGGACCTCATCTACTCCATTGGGAAACCTGTTGAAGACTGGGATAGGAAGCGCAGAGAATGGTTGGAGCATCACCCTTCGTTTGCTGCTGGCGTAGGTGATCAGATTCTTCTTGAACTGGGTCTCAGCCCTCCACGTGTAGCAACCCTGTTGGTGATCATTTGCAGCTAAAGTTTTCCAAAAACAAAGTAGACTCTTGCAGATTCAACGTGCTACCATGTTGGCGGATCATGAGGTGGAGTGGATCTGGTGGGTCGATTCAGATGCAATCTTCACAGACATGGAGTTCAAGCTCCTACTAGAGAGATATAAAGACCATAACCTAGTTGTGCATGGCTGGTGGCATCTGATATACAAAGAGCAAAGCTGGACATGTCTCAATGTGGGGGTGTTCCTGATACGAAACTGCCAGTGGTCCATGAACCTCATAGATGCATGAACCAGCATGGGGCCACAGAGCCCAGATTATGGAAGATGGGACCGAATCCAAAAGTCAATGTTCAAAGACAAGTTATTTCCGCAGTCAGACAATCAATTGGCTCCAATTTATCTTCTAATAGAATAGAAAGAAAAGCGGGCAGACAAGACTTATTTACAGAATGAGTACAGCCTCCATGGGTACTGGTTGGGAACAGTGGATGGTCTTGACAACATCACCAAAAGGTACATGGAGATCGATAGAGAGGTGGTAATGTTGAGGAGGAGACACGCATAGAAGGTGAGCTTGTTCTATGGAACGATCAGATAGCAATATCTGAAGAACAAGGGCTAATGGAAGGATAAACTCAGAAGGCCTTTGTCACGTACTTCACATAAACTCAGAAGGCCCTTTGTCACGCACTTCACCGTGTGTGAGCCTTGCAGTGGGGAACACAACCCTGCTTACACTTGGGAAGCTTGTTGGAAGGGGATGCAGAAGGCTTTGAACTATGCAGATAGTCAAGTTCGTAGCAGATTTGGCTTTGTGCATCCCGACCTGCTCAAATTGTCATTGGTGACCTGCCATTTGATTTCCCAGCTTGAGTGATTGTTCGTCTGTTCTGCAATTTGTACTCTTACCCAAACTTTCAAATTATTATGAGATCGAGGCAGGTTTAGTCCTATTTCATCCTCTTTCCAATATTTTCTTCCTTCATTCTTCTGTCATGATGGTGAAAACTTTCTTCTCAAAGGTTTACCAGTACAGTCCATTAGGATTAATTGGTATCTGTTTTTCATTCACCACCTGAATTCTACATCTGTTCTTCTTTCTCCACCATCAACCCCTGATAATTTTATGGTACTTGGGTTTGTGATATGTGCACGATTCCTTTTTTTTTTTGGGTATACATGTGCACGGTCTTCTGAGCCAAGATATAAACTGGGCATTGTAATTGGTAAGTTGGTAACATACCTTGTCCTCATTCTACAACCCAACTTCATTAATGGAATAGCTGTGACGATCTTATTTCTTCCTGTTCCACTCGAATCCATGTAAGTTATGCACAGGCATCATCAATGATAGTACTGTAAGAGAGAGAAGGCACATAGCTCAGGGCTATAAAACTTCAAAGGAAATAAAGAAAACAGCACAACAATGAGAACAAGTCTAAAATCGTCATATTTTAAAACTTCGAAAAATTCACAACTAATAGCACATATACTTATATGAATTTCTCAATGATTTTAAAAGAATAATTTAATGTTCATGATCTTTTTCTATTTGCTAATTAAAAGAAGCCATAAATATGACTATAAAAATGAAGATATCTCTAATGACATTGTATCCCACTCCCACAAACACATGCATGCACTGTGTTTCTCAAAATTTTTCAAAAACATGAAGAATTACAAACCAAAATTTGATGAAACTGGATCTAATCTTTTTAATGTAAAATCAGGGAAGTTTCCAAAGAAGAAAAAAACCCAGAGACTTGATAGTAATGAAAAGTAAAATCAATATTATAAAAGTACTATCAAATACATCAACTGAGGAAAAACTATTCATTCTCTCAAATACAAAATTATAGTTTGTTGTTACCAAGACCAGAGAACTCTGTATCAGCTTTAATACCAGGATCCCCATTGATCTAGTAGAAGTTTAATTGAACTAAATGAATATGTATTTTAGTGGGTTTGTGTATGTGGTTCAAAACAAGATTAAAGGTTTTCAGTTGCAATAACTCACATATTACTGGAAAATAAAATGACAGATAAATTGCGTTTTTCAAAACCCTCTAAATTCTAGATTGTTAACATCCCAAAAGAAAAGGTAACAAAAGTGTTCAAGAGATTGTGAGCATCAACCTGCTGAGAATAATGGACACATATCTGATTTCTGAGAGCACTCATGATATACTAATTTCACTTCAAGGGCAGTGATGATGCCTATTTATTTCTTTTGCAGGAGAGGGAAAAAAAGAACTTAAGATATTCACCACAAAAAAATCAAGGCTGAATGGTGGAGTTCCTTCTCCTACTATAGAGATATCCATCCTCTACCATCACACTTCTCCCCCTGTGTGTAGCAATGTTCCTCATCTGCTAGATGGAGGACTGAAATTTTAGGCACTAGGTCCTCTCTGCTAGCCTGCTAGAGGCATAAGAGTTAGTAACATATGAATTAGTGACATCTGCTTAGGTGATACAGTCAAAGCTTGCTTTACTGAAACACAAGAAATAACATGAGATACCATCAAACACAAAGCAATACATTTGAAGGGTTCAAAACACAGTCACACTTTCACCCTAGTCTGAGAAAAAAGAAATAAAGAAATATCTCTTCAAAAAATGCCTAACCCACCAACCTTCTGTGACCATCCCCACTCCCCCTACTCCTCCCCCAAAAAAAACGAAAAAAGAAAAGAAAAGAAGGAACACTGATGAAATTGAAATTTTTACGTCCTTGGACATCTCTCAGACTACTGAAGTTACAGAAGAACCTTACTTTATAAGGAAAACTTTTCATCTGTCTAACGTTGAGCATGCAAAAGTGGACATGAAAAATACCAGCAAAGCAAAAGTGTCATTGATTTTAAAAATGCTGATTAAATTTATAGCATAAGAGGAGAGCTTACAGCAAGTTTCACTAGAATTTTTAAAACCAAAATTCATACAATCTTACACAATCTTGAGGCCTTTCTTGGATAGATTTAAGAGAGGAGACTGCAAATTGGCAGGAAACCTGAATACTCGTCCCTAGAAAGAAAGGACGGATGCATAAACTCAAGTTTCTCTAAGTACTTGAATCTGAAAGATCAAAGGATCCACTGAAACCCCAAAATAATTTACTCACCAGCCAAAGCCAATTTTGTAAATGGTAGAGAAAGAGCTGGCTTATTTATTTGTCTATTGGAAGCTCAGCTCTACATCCCATAAACCCGTCATTCTGGTCATCCCATGTCTTTGGCCAATGTGAGAGGATCTTACTGACCAGTGTCACCTAACGAACAGGCTTATTTATTGACCCCAAGTAGCTAAGCTGCCTCCAAGGGAGAGGGAAAGATGGTGATAATCGTTGGATAAGGGACTTCGGAGTCAAAACAGATAAGTCTTACATACGGAGCATTATATATCAAAATAATAAGCACAGAACGAATCTGCCCTCAAGAAAAAAATTAGCAAATCTCAAGCAGGCAATTCCTTACAAGGATTTTCGTCAAAAAATGATGAGGTCATACTCTAACTCCACAAGAACTTCCCCAGAAAAGAACACAAGGAAAATTAACAGAATTGACATTTGATTGCACAATAAATCTTAAAAAAAAAAACTAGTCGTTTTCACAGTTCCATATCTTTTCAATCATCTGAACAATCTGAATGAAAATTAAATCACTGAGAATGGTTACCACCCTGTTGAGAGAGTTGAACAGATGCTGCACGAACCATTTCAACCAGCATCTCATCAAGCGATTCAAGTTCGCCAGAATTGCATAGCTGGCGATATAAAGGTGCGGCATAAGTTGCTGCAACTTCGGCCAACTTCCACACAGATAAATTGGCAGCAACGTGTAGTATTTTAATGGACAACTCTCTGGAAGAACCAAGACATGATACGATTACATCTGAGCATGCTTCTTGAACATCTTGCATGAGCCAGAACTCAGAAAGCCCAAAAAGCTCTACATATGGCTGTAGCTCGTGCAACTTTTCTCCAGTATCCATAATGTTCCATAAACATCCAGAGGGAGGCTTTGGCAGCTTACCGGAATAGAAGCAGTCGCCTAGTTTAACCATTGCTTCCCAACTAATAGAAACCTTTATGGTTTCTAAATGGCTGCAAGTATGAAGAAATATTTAAGGAAGAGTGATACATTGCAGCATATATGCAAAGAAGCACAGAAAGAAAAGGATCTATTATTCTTTTGCTTCAAGTGATAGAAGAACTAGCACCTAAATACATAAAATAGGGAGAAGTAAATCAAAAATAAATTTCAGTTCAGATGTGAAACTAATTATAAATAATCAAAAACCTAGGCGCCACCTCTCCATCGACCCACCCAACCCCTGACAGAAGGTACAAAGGAAACACAAAAGCACTGCCATGAAATGTTGTACTTAAAGACCCAGATATGCAAATGCAATCAACAGCCAAATGGCTCCCATAAGAAGCATACATGGTAGCCACAGAATCTGGTAAATGACATAACTCTCATCTCCAAACTATTTGCTTTAGGAGGATAACACATCAATGATTTTTTACTTCCTATTAACAATACATCCCTTTTTCTTTCTGAGAATACAAGGGTATAGAGCATACTTTAACAAGCTAAAACAGTTTTACCAATAAGATAGTAGACATTTAATAATAATCCTATACAACAACATTTATAATATTACAAAATATTAGAAATTCATTATGGAAATATGCGCACAACAATATTAACAGTTTTATGTAAGTAAAATCATTTTAATTCTACAACATCTTCTCTGCTAAAAGACCACCACATCCTGCCAAAGATGCTTGAAACTGCTGGAAACCATTTTAACCATAAGCCAATGTGAAGAACCACTTCTCAAAACCTCAACATACAAAATTTTTGGAGTAATGTAAAATAACTATATACATAATCACTTTCAATAAAAAATGTGCAGGTCTGTGTGTTGTCTATATAGAAAGACAAATTGCAAGTACCTCTCCTGCATTCCTGACTTAAACAAGGCCCGCAAGTAATCACAACTTGATGACAATACAACTTTGTGAGCATGCATATGTGGCCGTGGTAGAGAGCAAACACCACATGTCCAGCCCAAGAGCTCAGTTGCTTTAGCTTCTAGTATGACATCCCTGAAACCAAAATTAAACAAATATTATTAACATACTATTATTACATTTGGAAAACCAACTAGTAGCATGAAGCTAGAATATAAAACATGGTCTATACTAGGAAACAATGTCCTTTGCATTGTCAAACCAAGAAGCCTTCTATTTGAACAATGCCCCTGTCTCTACTCAGGTTCCTACATCATCCACAGTACTGCACTCTTCCTAATGGAGGCACAAATGTGAAACAAAGAAACAAATAGAGAAAGGGGAAAAAAACACAATTCTGATGTGATGCAACAAAACATATCCTATGTAGATATTAAAGTAGGAAAACATACGAGAAACAATGTCCAGATGGACCCAGAGCTACATTAAGATCTACGCTTGGGAAAGCAATGCCCCACTTGGGATGTTTTCTACACAGCATCTGCAACAGAGACTGTAGATTACAGCGTTTGGCTAGAGTCCTCAACTTTTTTGCAAGTTCATCTCCTGCTTGAAGATATCCCAAATAGATATACTCCAACAACATCACCAACGCCTGGTGATCAACATGAGCAGATAATCTTATGTCTTTATGAAAACCTCTACAAGTCCCCATAGAGCCTCCCCCTGAAGAATAATCAGATGTTACCTCACCAGGAAGCAGCACTTCAGGAGGCAGTAACGATGGACATTGAATTGCAAGCACAACACCATGGACACTCAAACACTCCCCATTTGCGAGAATGAGTTGTATATCAGCATCATCCTTCTCATTAAGTGCTTGACCAATCCTTTTTGCATGTTTTCCTGGAAAGCCATAATATCCAAAGTAACTAAGAATAAATGCAGCATACCATTGCAGCCCAGGAGCACAACTGTTGGTACAGATATCCTGAAGTTCGCTAACTAGTTGAGCTTCTATATGTCTCATCTCACAAGAAATTCTGTCTTGGTTATTTCCTATACATAGAGAATGCTGTATCAACTCAGCCAGTCCCCACAAACTGTAAAATAAAAGAATGTCTTTGCCTTCCCAGTCTTCTGCAGAAACCCAACAGCATATCCTCTCACAAACTGCGTTATGCAAATGTGGAGCAAAGCTCGATCTTTCTAAATGGAAATCATTACTTAAGCACCACCTCATAAGAGCCAATAATGTTTTTACCCCTCTTCGTTTGACCACCCAGGTTTGGTACTGTGGCAAACCTGAATAGCATGCGAACCCCATTAAATAAATGATAACTTGGAGTCTATCTGGCATTCCAAATTCAGTCCAAGATGAGAGATTATTTAGAAAATGCACTAAGGTTTTCAGATACTCCAATCCATCTGGCTCTAGTATTTCAGACAATATGGTTCTGGTCCTTGATGCAATGTATTTGCAAGGAGAATAAATCATCATCAAAACTGCCCTCGTTGCTGATTCACTTCTGAAGACACCAGCATTATCCTTTTCATATATTTTATGCCACTTTCGAATTGCATCAACAAAGGTCAAGCTATCAAAGAATACGGAGAATGAAAATCAGAAAAGTAGCAACCATCTATCAGATATCAACTAAAATGACAACTGCAGGGTCACCTGATATAAACAATACTTGGAGTCCAAAGAACATTGTATCAAGATATTTTAAAATAAATAAATAAATAAAGGTCTGGAAAATGAGGAAGGTCTTTGACAGATGAAGCCTTACCATGCACATGTAATGAGGATGTTAATGTAGAGTTCACTTTCAGGGTGGAAATCCTCCCCACAATGTATTGCAAGCCATCCAAGAATATCCCAAATGTAACTCCTCAGAATAAGAAGATAATTGGCATTGAGACCCTCCTTAGCAGCAGCTATTTGCTCATCCAATGACATGGAATGTTTGTGCGGTTGGTTCTGAAAATTAAGGAGAAGACGAAGGAGGATTTTGTCAATCCCTTGTTTCCATAAATGAATGTGATGCTCCCCCGTCCAACGAGTAATCAGAGCCAAGCGACATGCCTCCTCTAGCAAAGACATCTGGTCATTGGAGACCTTTTCAGAATTTGAGCTCAACTCACTCATTCCAGAAATTATGGCTTTGATAATAGGCTTGCAACATAATGTCATCATTTGTAAGCAGGTAATTTCATTTATCTGAAACAAAACCGTAAAAGAAAATTGAGTTAAAACATCGTTATGACCCTTTAACTATAGTAACAAGATTTCTTATAAGGAGACCAAGATAGAATTAGCACTGCTAAACATTGGGCTAGCTTGAATCCTTCAATTCGAACAGAATGAGGATGTGAGTTGTCCATGCATTGCACCATCTGTTCAAGAACCTCTCCACTTTCTAATAATTTCTTGGTCCCATGAGCACATAAAGCTGGAAAAATTAATAGAAACTTAATCCAAACAGTCTAGAATATAGGGCTAACTGATAAAATTTCAACATGTAAAAATGGTTTTCTTCCTGATTGAATGTTTAATACCTATAGAAGAAAACAACTTCAAAACTGCAGCTTTTCCATAATTATCTAGCTTTAGCATATCATTTAAACCTTTCATCAGTTCAGCATCACTCCAAACAGAAAACCTAGATGGAGGCCACCACCATAGTATTGTACTCAAAAGTAAAGCCATCTGTTGGAAATATTCTACTGGCTTTGCACATCCAGGAAAGCATCGTAAGTTACTTATAACTTGAGGTACAATTTCTGTTTTCCCGAGAACATCCCAAACTTCTTTTCCACTCTTGGTACTGAAGTTTGAAAGACTAAGATTCAGTGCTGCAGCACATGATATAGCAACTTCTGTTTGATGCGAAGATAATAAAGATGACAAAGGATTAACAAGATCTAATGCATAAATCTGCAGTACTGATTTGGGTAAAATGCTGACTAATTTTAATGTCACATCTGCTGCCATGCTCAACATGGCTCCCTTGTTAGATTGAAGAATCCAAACCAATGCACCGACGATGTCAGAAACTGAAGCCTGAAAATTGATGGAGAAAATGATGAGAGGATTTAAAAATGAAAACATATACAGCTCAGAACTGATACAAATTACAACAAGGCATTATAGAATCTTAGAAACATAATGTTTTGTACAAAAATTGAATTAGGGAGAACCAGGAAATGCTTTAAGATAGTATTGGATACCACTGATGTTATAGAACTCCAAACATAGCATGTCTTGTTCAAATTTTCAATTAGCTAGGACCAAATTATGTTTTCAAGAGATAGCATACCAAAACAAGCCCATACGTAGACATGGACGATAGCCGTCAGACTACATCATATGCTACATGTAATTCAATGAGCTAAAAATTATACCAATACAATTTAACATATATCATACTTCAACATGATCGTGCTGATGCTCATTAACATCAACCTATGACATGTAACTTCCTATAATAAGGTGTAGGTGGTTTCTGCAACTGCACACCTACTTTCCACTCAACGTATTTGTTTTCTTCAAAAATTTCTTACTAGGGGTTAAAATTCCATGTCTAATAATGTGATATGAATAAAATTTGATGATCAACCTAAATACAACAGTCAACATAGTGAAGCTCCACTAAATAAATAAAAGACTAAATTGTTTGATCCATAGAGATTGTAAAGGAACAATATTGTTATACCTTCACAAGTGGGTGATGCAGCGTATCCCCAGAAATATAATCAAGAAATGCAGCTATTGAGTGGACCACATGTCTTTGTATCTCGATATCCTTACACTGCCATTTTTTTGCCTTGTCACCACAAAATCTGCAAGACACAAGCCAGTATAGGAAGAATAATACTGCTAGCTGTAGCAATCAATCTACACATCTTTTATACAACACTGGACTTCAATTAACTAAGCCTCTTCTGTAATAACTGAATCAATTATCCATATATGACGTCTATTCAACTCTAAGTAGACTCTCATAACTAGTGGCTTTGTTTATTGCTTGATGAGGGATATAACAAGCCCTATCTGAGGGACTCTAGAAATGCCAAATGTTAGTGCACCCAATCATAGCTATGAATAGTGGATTAAATACAAATGTCTTAAATAGGATCGGTGATCGTCCAGAATTGGATATATTAAGCAGGTTATCTCCTTAAGTTCCAATAAGGACTTTTAAGTTAAACCATCAACTCCAGAAGGTGGTTAAGTTGTGAAAATATTGGAGCAAGGTGGGTCTCCTAATTACTTGAGCCACTAACAGGTGCTGTATTGGAGTAAAGGGTTTGGTTGGACAAAGCACAATGCACAATGCACGATGATCGTGGGAATGGAAGTCACACAATATGGTGTGCATGGAACAAAATTACTGGGATATCTCCTTAAATTGCGTTGAAGCCAAGTTAAAATCTCAAAATTGAACGCCACAAGGTGATATCAAACTAAGGTGACGACCAGCAGACCAGGCCACATGAGCCCTCAATAAGACCTTACATTTACTGCAACTAAAACTTAATTCCAACCACCTGAAGTTGTCTTCAATCATACGCCAATCAATTTTCAACATACAGCTCAAGTGGGTTGAGCTAAAAGAACCCATTTTCGCTATACCCTACTAGATAATCCACACATAAGAACCATGTTTAGACTCTTGAGCTTAGATAACCACCCCCCCCCCCCCCCCCAAAAAAAAGAACTTGTATTCATTCTAATTCATATGAAAACAGAACCCGAGCCTGAAATTGAAGGATGAGGATAAAAGTGGTGTGAGGCAAACCTGTTACCGAGGCTGAGAGCATGATTGAAACGCTGATAGAGGGTGTATGCGTGCCCAGTGAGGCCCCTGTTATTGTCCGTACCGTGCTTCGAAGGTCCCATTTTTGTTATTTTCTTTTTCTTGTTTCTCTTCTTTGTCGCGTCTTCCTCAGAAAATGAGAGAAGGGTTTGGTCTGTGCAAGAAAATCAAAATCTTTAGAAGTTGAAATGCCCAATTTGAGCGTCAATTGTTTCTGAAGTTGCCGCTACCGCCATCACCCATAACACCAGACACCTCACTTTCTTTTTTATATTTTTCTTCCTCTCTAACTTCTGTTGTCTTTTTGGGATAAATAATGTAATAATTAGTATACTTTTTACATTTTTTTTAAAAAATTTAAATTTTTATACTTGGAGGAGCTGATCACCTCCTCTTTTTATTTTATTTTTATATTTGAGAGTATTCAATTAGGATTCTAGAGCGTTTAAAAAGATTGTGTTTAAGTGCCAGATTTCATAGAACTTGATGGAACTTTAGAATTCGTATAGAACTTGATAGACTTTCAAAAGATTTATATATAATTTTTTAATACATTTTCTTAAGATTTATATGACTTTTATTCAAGACTTCTATAATTTCTTTAACATATTTTTTTAAAAATGAATGCTAAGAGCCAACTAATTAGTCACGCCATCCACGGGATGCAACATCAACCATGAGTTGCAACAACATTATACTCTCTTCAACACTCCAAGCGTTATAATCTTATTTGCTCTTCCTTTTTCCATTTACTTGTTATGTATTTTCAGACTCCATTTGAGTGGTGCATCTATGAATTTTATCATATCAATAAAAAATAAAGCATAAAAAATATACAAAACCCATAAAACACTACAAACGTTGATCCCAAAAAATGTACATAAGCAACCATAGATCCTAATAGACACATCTTATGTTTAATACACACATGAATGATGTAGAACAAATGGTTGAATGAATTGAAGAATAATTGGAGTGAAGAATGAGAAAAGGACGCAGTAGGAATTTATAGATTTGGCATCCGAGGTCCGATTGGGGCATATAATACCTTTTCGAAAAGGGAACGATGCCACGAGTCAAATAGACTGCTTTGTTGTGATAAATGGTGGATTTTGGGCTTTTGAGATCGTTTAGGCTTCCAAAACAGCATTTAAAAGTTGTAGTTAATTTTCGGCTTTTCGTTTTTGTATTGTTTATCTCAGTTTGTCTTAGTTTTTTTGTTTGATTATAGAAAGGTTGTCAATTACTATATTTCAATTTCCTATCCAGTGATTCAATGAACAATTCTCATAAAGTCGTATATAGATATTTCAAAAGAAAAACAAGCATGAACCCTAACCCCAAGCTAAACCCTAATAACAAGTAAAACCTGTAACCCCAAACTATACCCTAATAACAAGATGAAGAAAAATCATGGAAAAAGAAAACCAACGAGATATTGATCAAAGAAAAAATAGGGAGCATACCTTCACAGGATGGAGGAAGGAGGTTGTTGGTCTTCTGTTGCAAAGAGAAAAGCTAGGATGGGAGAAAAACGTCTGATGAAATACCTTGTCAATGTAAAACTTTGTCATGTGTATACTGAACACTGACAAGCATGTGACATTGCCTCTTTAAAATCTTGTCAGGAAAAATCCAGTGGAATAAAAACTTGGACAAAGGAAAAAGAGTACAGTGTGTGAAGATCTTTATTGACAGCACGCTCCCCTTGATGCTTGGCAAAATATCCTTTAAGCCATACTGTTGATCATCTTTCTGAATGTCATAGTTGACACTGCGTCTGTGAGTCAATCTTGTAATATTGTTGGATGCTTCCCCTAAAGAATATCTCCCCATGATACCTTCAAGACTATCTTTCTAGAGGGAAGATCTTTCAGACTGAGTGAATGATGTAGCTATCAACAATTCATGTAGTTGAGTGAACAAATATATTTCCAGTGAGCTATCTCCATGTAAATCATAGAAATTTCCAGAGTCCGCGAATCAAACAAAACCTGGGCTATTTGTAAGTACATTTGGAAAGAATATGCCCGTATATGGTTTTATGCGGAGATAACATCAAATATGTCTCACATCATCCCAAAGTGGTGGTGATGGAGTTGAACTCTATTTGGAAAATATAATATCCGGTCCAGTATACTTCTAGAATAATCATTTAAGTGCCCAACGGATAATCCACATAAACATGCTTCAATACTTTCTTAGTATAAGCAAGAATCTCGTTGGCATAATTCTCGATCTTCAAGCCGAGACAAATATTTCTTGAACTCTTCAGGAGTTTTAATCAATTATCAATTCTTCAGGAGTTGTAATGTATTGCAACCATATCATAATTAATGCATTCACAGAGGCAATTTATATATATATTAATATTGAGTACAAAATTTGTGCTCCAGGCACATGTCCTTTAGAGACTTGTTTTATGCAATTACAATCCTTCAGGGATTTTATTTAAGGGATTACACTTCATGACACATTATATAGCTTTATATCCAGCTATTTGTTCTGAATGTACATTTTTAGGGAATTGCTTCTGGTGATATGCTTCATGCATTTAATAACCCTTAAAGATAACATGTTGGTCTCCGCAAATGTGCAATTAGAAGGCACAATTGCATCTGTAAATATGGAGAACCTCAACATCCCCTATTTCTACCGGAAACATTGTGTCATATTATTGAGTATATTCCTCTTTTATTCCAAACACCCAAATATAACTTTCAGGGTTAACATCTTTTGGGGTTTGTACTATGGGTTTGTTCCTTCACGTTCATTCATCTGTAATGGAATTGCCTCTTTCTATTTTTTGCCAAAGATATTGTGGACATTTAATAATAGAACGTGGTTCCAATCAACACAACCCATTGATGATTTGAGTAGCTACTCTAAAACCAAAAATTATGTCACGACCCGATACGAGAATAAGGCATATTCCTGAATCAGGATGTGAGTCATACCATAGTCATAAGAATAAAATCTTACAACCATGATATGATGAGAAATAGAGCCACAAATAAGTACAAATTTACTTAACAACACAGAATCAGACTCGCAGTAGCTCGTAGTTAAATATACACTAAGATCTTTAACAAACGGTTAACTACTTATAAATATGAATTACACAAATCAATGACAAAAGCCTATTAGCTTGGTTGAAACCCGCTTCCTCAAACTTAGCCTTGAATCCTACACAATCTATTAGAGTATGAGCATTCTAATGTCCAGTAGAGTATCGTCAAATCTCTCAAGGTCAACTATCACAGTTAATCAAAGTGTCATGCATCATTCAACGCAAGATACAGAAATCATGCAATAATATCAAATAAATAAATTTGCATATGTGGTGGTGCCATGAACTCACTCCCTTCTAATCCCACTAATTCACACCTTAGGGCAACAAGCATGCATATCCCATACCATGCATTTTACCACTGCGGCTTCGAATACCCTAAAATATGAACTAGATTAACCTAGTTTTTTTTTGTTTACGAATTTCTCAACTTTCACTTTTCATTAGAGGCCATGCTCCCGTCACTTGAATGTATTCCGCATTTTTACTCAAATATACCTAAGGCCTTCTCCCACCTCTTAGATATACCTCACACACACCCCAAATACCACTGTATTTATGATGCATATGTAATGCAGTGCAAACATCATTTATCTGTGCGGAATAATAATACAAATAATAACAATAATATTCACCCAACGTCGAAAATAATATCCATGGAGAAACATCAATAATAATATTCATATAATATCGAATAATATTCATCGAGCAAATCAATAATAATATTCATATTTATAATCTATACATATAAAGCAAAATGCAGAGAATGGTAAAGCATTCAAAATATAAAAAAAAAACCATTGGTTAATGCAAACATTAAGAATTGAAATTATTAAACAAATGAGGATAATATGGTAAATTCACACTTTTTCATATTAAATAAAAATAAAAATAAGATAATAGATCCTATTTTTATGGAACAAAACTACCCATTATCTTTTTTAATTCTAAAATAAAATAAAATATTTTTTTTAAAAAAAGCATCTCGCAGGCGCGGAAGTGCGTGCAGAAAGGTTAGTATTATAAATAAGTACCAAGATTAAAAGTGACATAACTCTATCATTGGGAAATCATGAAAACCTACCTCATGTTCTGCTAGTTAAAGTACCAAATTTACCATTCGGAAGTTCTCAGAATTGTTGAATATACACTTTTGATCCAAGTTCTGAACAAATTCAAATCCAAATTATTAATGAGCAGTCTTCACTTTATTTCACCTAAGACCAACCTCAGCTTTATGCATTTCAAAGATTTTGAGTGAAAATGACGAAAATGCCCCTAGGACCAACCCGGGGTCCAAAGCGACCAAATCTCGTCCAAAATAATATAAAACTGTCTTATGCCTTGTCAACATCGAAACAAGGCCAACAACATTCGTTATCCAAAAGTTACCATTTGGGTCTCGTGGGCACCACAACAACCCATACTTTGCACCACCTCGGATTGACTCAAAACATATACCATCGGATCATATTGAGAAATTGAGTCGAATGGACTAAAAATATGACGTCGGAGGCTGCCAGAACAGTCACCATGCGCCGGAGCTGCGAGTGAGCTTGTTTTCCGGTTATTGTTCATCATCTTCCCAAAATTCTGCAACTTCCCATGTTTTTCGGGACTAAAAAACCCAGACTTTGTGAGGTATTTTGACCAACCAAACGTTAACAAAATTGGGCAAACTTGTAGTGGTTTTGAAGCTCATTCCCTCTAGTTTCTAACTCAACAAACCACACTCAAAACGGAGCTAAAACGAAAACTAGCTCCAAAGTTGGACTAATGGCTGGTTTTTCTGCAGAAAAACATATTTTTTTCCTTCCAAACTTTGCACATATGTTTGACGTATCAAAACTCAACCAAATTGTATGAAACCAATTGTGTTTTGTTCCTTGCCAAGTCTAGTTTAAAACCCAATAAATGGGTCCCTCAAACACTCAAGGTATTGGGAGAAAAAGAGAGCCAAAGTGAGGCTCACGGACTGCAAATTTTCAAAAAATGCAAATTTCCAGATTTGGTTCTAATTCATTTTCAACCATTCTATCACTTCCAAGTTGTTCCTAAGGCTTCTAAAACTCTTCTAAAGTTCATACCTATCATTAGAACTCATCAAAAACTCAAAATGGAACCAAAATCATAAACACCCACACTTAAAAAATTGCTCTATCCACCCAACCCGAAAATGGAAGTTCAAACTCTTCCAATTCAA